GGTATCCGGCTATGGAACCGGAACCGATATGAGTGGTTCCGGTTCCACTTCCTAAAATATGGAACCGATTGAGAATGGTTCCGGTTCCGGTTCTCAATTTTTCGGAATCGTTACCCGCCGGGTACCCGGTATTTTTAAATAAAAAAATAATTATTATTTTTTAATACCAAATTTATATTAGGTTTACATCTTGAAAGCACGCCGTCATCTTCATTCTTCATCTAAATTCTTCATATAGAATGATTCGTATTTTTTTAAATTGTGTGTTCACTTGGATTCATAGTATGTAATCGTTAAACTTTGAAATACCATTATAGTATGTAATCGTTAAATTTTGAACATTTTCTATTAGTCTATTATGGTTTGTAATCATTAAACAATATTCGTAACCATTATTATATATAATTTGTATTCTTGCTTATTTATTTAGTGTTTTGGCAACGTTTTATTTTTTATTTCTAAATAACAAAATTTTAATATTTTAGGAAGCGGGTACCCGGAACCGGAAGCGGGTACCCGGAACCGGAAGCGGGTACCCGGAACCGGAACCGGTTCCCGGCGGTTCCGGTTCCAAAAATTTAAGAACCGCTATAACCAGTTCTGGTTCCAGTTCCAATATTTCAAGAACCGGAACCGGTTCCGGTTCCTGTCAAAAAGGGCGGGTACCCGCCTATGCTCACCCCTAGTATATATGTATAATGTTTATTTGATTATATTGATTTTTGAATCGATATTACGAGTCAACTTTTGATTCAAAAAGACTGTGGGTATCGTCTAAATCTTTATCCATCATATTTAGGGGTTGTTTATCTAAATGCTTACCCGGTAAGTGCTTACTGATACGAGTCAACACTATGATTTATTTTAATGCGCAAGATTTTAGTACATCAAAACGTATTGAATGTAACAATTTACCTGGTAAGCGCTTACGTGGGTAAGAGTCGTCATTTTCATTTACCCAGTAAGACTCTTCATCTTTCTTATCGCTCTTACCCAGTAAGATTCTTGGTCTTGTCATATTTATCCGATGAGGAAATTTATCCGTTAAAGCACTTACCAAGTAAGCGTCTAGTAAACGTCTAGTAAACGGCTCCTTAGTATCACCCTAATGAATAATAATTATACGTCCACGTGTAATCTGTATTCGAATATTTGATCAAGTAAAGTTAACTCTATTATTTTAGTAAATAACTGTATGATAAATTACATTTTTCATATTCATAGCGTAATTTTCATGGCAAAATATGTTAAAACGTAATAACATTTATTTCAGTTTAACTGAATTGTAATTTATATGATGAAATTTTGTAAAATATCAACGAACATAATATCGACTCATTTAAACGTACAACGGGTATTTAAATGTTTTACTTATATCATATGTAGGGGATAATCAATTGATATTCCATAAAATTACGAGAACACCGAACACCAATGCGCATATGCTATTTCATATGAATTTTACATCTGATACTATGATTTAGAGTATTGATTAACATATATTTGTTACATGATTGTTTGTTTCACATGTGAAAGTTTTTGACATGTTTGTGAAACAAAAAATATACGTAAAAAAGTGTGAATGTATATGAACCAAACACATTTGAAACAAATATATGTTAATAAATACATTAAATATTAGCCTTAGATAGAAAAATCATGTGAAACAATGTCTTACGATAAAAGTTCTCATGGTTTTCACAATATATGAGGTTCTCTTTTGATAATGCCCTTATATATAAATGTTACAATATGATATGTAACACCCTTAAAATAAGAGTAAATTAAACCTGAAAAATAGACTCGGAAGTGATACTTAAATAAACAGAATTTACCCAATGGATGGGGAAATGTAAGCGTTTACACCAATCAATAAGAATGATAGCTAACAACCTCATAATTAAAACCGAACTAGGTGAAGATTTAACATAGGGTGTTGCTGCGATCATCAAAAGATTTCTATTCAACGTATGACACTATGTATCTTCAAAAGTGTCATCCCAAAAATGCCCTTAACGGCAAACCATCGCTCCACTCATACCTTGAGAGCCTCACTGTTATACGATCATGATATACATGTCATTTAAGAAAAAAATGTTAGGATTACTGTATAGTGAGATCAAACAATTTTATAAGGAGAGCTAGAAATCATTAAAGGCATAATACGTCTTGCGACAATGTGGGAGACCTTATTTTCGTTGATTGTGTCAGAACACAAAATTAGGCCACAAATCTAAGAAATACTCCAACGCATAATGTCTTTGGATGAAATGGAATCTGTCAAATGAATTTGACTTTGAAGGATTTGGAATGAAATATTGTCAGGTTTGACCACCTGTTTGGTTGGCAGAATTGGAATGAAATCTATTAAAGGGGTTGGTGTTCGATGGAGAAATTGAAAGATGAGAAGTCAAACTTGCTAAGCGAGTTGGTGTTCGAGGGAGAAACAACAGATCGAGTAAGTGTCGGCTTCTTGAGGAGAAATTGTTGTCGGGTTGTTGAGAGATTAGGGTATTATGAGATGGGGTGAGGGTATATTGGGTATTATGAAATAACAAATTCTGTTCCATTAAAATCCCATCTATTTATCAAGGAATGTTAAAATCCTTTATCCATGGAACTCATAGGAATCTGAAGATTCCTTCCTTTGAAAAGAATGAACTAAACGAAAGAAATGAATCTGGTCAAAGGAATTCAACATTTCAATTCCTTCATATTCCTTCAGAATCTGTGAACCAAACGCTACCTAAGAAATACACATCGAGTTCATAAATGTCAACTTTTATTTTTATTCTATGTCACTATCTTTGGTTTTCCATTGCTAGTCATCTGTTTAGTTAATTTTTATGGTAATTGTTAGTGGATGGCTTTGAGAATAAGGGTCCGTTTACCAAACGATTAACCAAGTAAGCGCTTAACAAGTCACTATATTACCGGATGAATATGGCAAAGACCAAAAGTCTTATGCGGTAAATTGTTGTATATAATAATGTTTTGGTGGATTAAAATTTTATTTGGTAAGTAAATGATAGTGTGAAATTTTGCCGACAAACACTTGTCCGAGTAAACGTTAGGTAAACGGCCTCTAAGACCTTGGAGCGGGGATGTCGATCAGTTTTTTTTCAAATTTTTTTCTAACTATGATATTGAATTTACTATAATTGAATGTTGTTTATTTTATAAAAATTGTACATTGCTTTCTTGCTTACATTTATTCAGATTTTACATCCCGATTATTGCACGGGTATACAACTGGTATGTATGTGTGTGTATATATATATATATGTGTGTGTGTGTGTGTGTGTGTATATTCATGATGATTGTATAATGAATATGTATATTGATGATAAATGTCTTAGTAATGTATGAAACTATGAATACTGAAAATTTGTTGAATACACGTCCATAACTCTTCATGATGAATGTTATAGTAAGTTGTATATTCATGATGAATATCATATTAATTTATGAATATTAAAAAGTTGTAAACATATGAACGTGCATAAATAATATTATACAGATATATTTTTTGATATAAAAAACATAAAAAAAACTTTATCGAGATATATGTCAAATGAAATTCGATTGAGAACTATTATATGTCCAAGGTTCAATATTGAAAAAAATTAAGAGGTTTTCCCTGACTTTGTCCATGTCAACAAACAATTCGAATACCTAGACTTTTTAGAACAGGTTTCGAGTCAAGTAGCAATGATTTGAAGCACTTTTTTTTACACTATTTCAGAAACCCAAGGACTCAATCGTAATTTGTTTGATTAAAATATTAATTATTTTTAAAATAATTTAGTTTAAAAATTAAGAAGGTAATTTTTTTTAATTAAAAATGAAAATAAAAAGTCAGATGTAAATCATAACTTACATTTATACTACTAATTACTTCTTAATTAACTTTTTTTCTTTGAACCATTGATTAAGTTTTCTAAATTTCAATCGACGTTCGACGATCAAAATTTGTCCTCATATTCATAATGTAAAACGAGTTTTCATTTCAACTCACTACTAGAATAATGACTATTTTCGGCAGACGGCTTCCGTCAGTAATTTTCTGAGGGATTTCCGGCGGACTTTTTAATTAATTATATTAGACTTGTATTTAATTTAATCAAAATCCTTTACCGGCGGAAATTTAATTAATCTTTTAAAATTAATTATCCTCCGGAAATATATTTGAAATAAAAATCGGTTTTTAAATTTTCCGGCGGAAAATTAATTAATCTTTTAAAATAATTACCCGTCGAAAATCCGCCGGTAACTTGTTTGAAATTAAAAATCGGTTTTAACATTTTTCTGTGGATTTCCGGTGGAAAAAAAAATAAATCTTTTTAAAAATATATCCGTCGGAAATCGGCTGGAAAATGTTAAAATCGATTTTTAATTTCAAATATATTTCTGGCGGATTTAATTTTTAAAAATATTTATTATTTTTCCGCCGGAAATCCACCTGAAATTTATTTGATATAAAAATCATTTTTAACATTTTCCGGCAGATTTCCAGCAAATTTTTTTTTCTTCTCATTTTTCAAACTTTTCTTTAAATAATGGATCGTATTGGACTTTAACGGATGTTAATGGGTTTTAATGGTTCTATTGGGCTTTGATGGGTGTTAGTTAGGCTTTACTGAATCGTATTAGTTATATTGGGTACTCATCCTTACATATATATGTGTGTGTGCCCGCATAATATAGTCATAGACTATTTTACGAAGTAAAGAACTAATCATAATAGTCCTTCGTATGATCAATATTGGTTTTAATTGGTCAAAATTTGCCGCGATATATAACCGAAAAATAAAGAGTGTAATTGTGTAATTTTTAATCATACTCACGATGATACGAAGCTTAGATTGTTGAAACTCGACAGATAACACAGGTTTGATAAACAACTACCCTTAAGTAAAGCATCTGACAACAATAGAAACGACGAAGGTGGTACAAACTGGTCCGCATAAACCACACAATTTCAAGTAATTCATCAATCGTTATAGCTTGAACTTTTTGCCATTGAGTAGGGCATCTGACAAAGTCGAAGAAGATCTCAGACCAGCTTCCAAAATTTTCACACCCTGCACAAAAAAACTCAGTAAGTTCAATAATTCAGAAAGAACTTCAACAAAAAAAACTTAAAAGACTGGAATATTATGACATACCTCTTCACCGCCAATGCTTAGTTCATGTTCTTCAACATCATCTACAAGAACATTCAACTTATTCAATACAGCAATTGCAGAAACAAATGATAAAGGGGTTATAACAAGATCATCTGTCACCATAAACTTGACAGATGCCTTCAAGAAACTTTCTTGGACCCTTGAATCTTTTGATTCTGTAGTGTCGGAGATGATCGTCTGTGGAATCGATTGAGAAGAGTAACTTAATTTGATTAGATGACGTTTCGTTGAATTGCGCCGCCAAGTTTTTTTAGAACAAGGCCTATGTGCACAACGACCCTGATGATCTTGAGAACTGTTTGCAACATTTAGAGGGAAAATCTGGTGTTGTGAAATACTTTTTTGCTCCAACTGAGGATTAAGAAGCATGTCTTTGAGATCATGTGACTTGATGTGATTCCCTACTTTCATGTTGGAAATGCTCGTAAACAAGTTGCCGAAACCGTCGATGGAAGTCGAACCGTTCATCTTTAACTTGCGAATTACAGTTCCTAATGGGATTTCAAGAAACCCAAAAACAAGTTCAACAAAATCTTCATCTGCTTCTGCAAACAAAAACTTGGAAGTTGATTTTTGCAACGCAACTTTTAGCTTCATCTTTTTTGCATTCGTTCCAGTTTCATTGCTGACTAAATTCTGAACCGATGATCCTTGACTCTGATCAACTAAATATCGAGAATGATGCGTGCCAGGAAATACCAACTCCGTCAACGGGTTCTTGAATAGTAGTGCCGATTTTAAAAGGGTAAGAATCTGAAAAACGTAATCATTAGATATAAAAAAAAATAAAAAATTGCATTAAAATGAAACCAACTTTAACTTAATTTTAATTTTGAGAAACCAACTTTTAAAATCGTTATTTTGGGAAACCAACTTGCACCTGATTCCTATTTTGGAAAACCAACTTTCAAAATCGTCGTTTTGAGAAATCAACCTGAACCTAATTCCTATTTTGGGGAATTAACTTATAAAATAATTATAGAAAAATAACTAATCAAAAATTAATGTAATAAAATCTATTTTTCATTTCAAATATCGTTTTTTTAATTCAGATATCAAATTGAACATTTAAAAAAAATTCAAATTATCACAATATAAAATGTTTTTTATTAATGCAAAAAAAAATATTAATTTAATAGAAAAAATTAATAGATGCAATAAAAAATAAATATTAATTATCACATTCAAGATTTTTATATCTAACCAATAACACGAATTAATTTTTTTCTATTAAATTGATTTAAAACTGATTCTTTTACATTAATAAAAAACAATTTTTATTATAATAATTTGGATTTTTTTAAAAAATTGTTCAATTTGATATTTGAATTAAAAAAAACGAGATTTGAATAAAAAATAGATTTTATTGCATTAATTTTTGGAAAAAACGAATTTTAGTTATTTTCTATAATTATTTTGCAATTTGGTTCCCCAAAATAGAAATTAGGTCCAAGTTGGTTCCCCAAAATAAGAATTAGGTCCAAGTTGATTCTTCAAAATGACGATTTTGAAAGTTAGTTCCCCAAAATAAGAATCAGATGCAAGTTGGTTCCCTAAATTAAGAATCAGATGCAAGTTGGTTCTCCAAAATAACAATTTTAAAAGTTGGTTCCCCAAAATAGGAATTAGAAAGTTTGTTCCATTTTGATTCAATTTTCTGTATGAATCATCTACTGAAATACCTGTTGAAGGCTATTATCTAAGGTCCTCTCCTCCAATTGGCTGGCATCAGTGATTCCAAGACCACCAAGCAATAGAATGTTAGAATCTGAAGTCTTTGGCATCACACGAAGATCATCTGTGATTATGAAAGTTAACCCATCACAAACAAACACGCTGCCATCAAAGCAAGCAACTTGGCCGGTATTATGAACAGTCGAAGCCTCGTATTTACTTTCCCGATCCATCAACGCCCCACAATAACTGCATCTATCGAAGTTACAAGTGCTAAAAAATGGACCAACACGTTGGCTGCAAGACACGTTTCGACATATGAAGTAGTTCGCAATTGGCTCAGTGTCGTCTATTTTGAGCTGTAGCTTTCTGCAGTGATCGAATGACGAAGTTCTGGGGTTAAGCATCATGAATTTACTTTCTTCTTTGGAGAAGTGACTCAAAGAAAGATCCATTCGACTCTGGTACAAGTTTGTGAAGCTTCCAAGCGCCTTAAGATTTTGATCATGGCATTTCTTCATGAGTCTAACGATTGTAGCCATGGGCAATGTCATGAGGCTGAAAAGAGTGTCGACAAAATTGCTGTCAGCTTCTGCAAATATCACTTTGTTTTCCTGTTTGTGCACCATTACTCTTAGCGATATGTTGTCTTCATTGGCAGAAGTAGCAGCCATGACTGTAACCCATGATTGGTAACAGTGCTATTTAAACTACCTACATGGAAATGAAGAGGCGTTCTTGATCAGTACGCTGTATTCTTAATTAAGAATACGATCAAGTTTCAAAGTGACTTCTTGGTTCCCATGGGACAATGAAAAGACCACAAAAATCCCAAGTTGGATCCAATAAGAATGTACTCCATGAATCCTGTAGCATTCATCCATTGCAAAAGAAAATACTCCATATTTTGAACTTAGTTGTTGTAAACACTTCATTGGGTTGGATATATATGTCGGAATATAATTATATACTTATGATAAGAGAGGACCGTTCAAATAAAAACCATTCAATTTGTACAAACCGTGCAAACCTCATTCAACCAATCATAATTTTTCATTTTTTTGTAATTATGAGAGGTTGATTAACGATTTTTATTGTGGAGGGTGTTAATCATGGATATTATCATCTTCATTATTTTAATTTTAGAGAAATACATGAAACAGTTTCATTAAAATTTCATTGAATATTATATGAAACAATTTCATAACCATATATGAAGCAAATTCATCAAAAAAATATTATATGAAACAATTTAACAAGATTAAACAATTTCATGAAAAATTTTCATAAGATTAAACAATGAAATCGACGTATGAGAGTGGTTTGTACGGTTTGTACAAATGAGGATGATTTTCATTTGATCGCTGCCTATGATAACAATATATTGTATTTTAATCCATATTTTTTTTTTCTAATTTAATTATTAGAAAATAACAAATTTCTCGTTTATCAAAATAATATTTTTGGAGTCTTGAATGTATAAGGGTTGTTTGTTTACCTCTTAATAGTTCTATTAAGAGGCAACCTCTGAATCRTTAAGAGGTGAATCTTGTTTGGCAAAAAAAAGTCTGCCTCTTAATGGTTCTAAAACTTTCTGAATGATTTTGTATCATGAGTCTCCCTTAACCATTAGGAGCCCCAATTTCATTGTAAACACTTATCAAACAATTATATTTCATTTTGCACTATATCATGAGAGTCTCTTAATTATTCTGACCACTTAATCGTTCTGCACCAAACCATTCAGCAACTTCCAAATAGCCCCTAAGTACTAAAATTTAATTAAATTGATAGGTATTTTCATATATGCAAACTTTGTTTAGCAAAAGAGTAGGGCCGTTTAATTATTTAACGGTTATCTGAATAAGCATTTTATCAATAAGAGTTATCAAATTCAATTTCCTTCTCGAATAACATTTTGGGTCATATGTGGATTGTTGATAACCATGTTTTATCAAGTAAGTATTTATCGAATTTTATGAGATAAAATTCTCTATTTTTATTATACGTCTTACCGATTAAAATTATTGATTCTTTCCGGGCTAACCTAGTAGCTCACTTAGTAAAATAAATGAGAAAACTATTTACTAAAAGTGTTATTAAGCTTCATTTTAACAAGTAGAAGTATGCATGAATGGTGTCATCAAATATAGAGTAAATTGTGGATTTGGTTTATGTGGTTTGATGTTTTTTTTACTAGGGTTCCTATAGTACGTTGTGGACTTGGTTCTTATAGTATTCAATTTGTTTTGGCCATGATACCTATGATTAACGCCTACGTTAACTCCATTAAATCAAGGGCCATTTTGGTTTTACTTTTGACTTTTATCTATAAAAAAAAGTAAAAACAATATTTTTATACACACAAATATATATAGAGGGAGTCAGATTCATAAGAGAATGATACGTATTTAAGAAAATAAGAGAATGAATATGGATCATATATTTCATTAAATAATACCTTAAATAATTAATTTCTAACAACAACTAAATAAGGGTATAAAGGTAATTTAGTTATATATAAGTATTAAGACATGTATTT